CACTGTGTATTTATTTTTTTCTTTTTAAAATCTTGTTTCCTTTTCTAAGTCGTATTCATTTCAATATGTCTACTATTTGTATTTGTATTCGAATACAAATAAACTAATAGAAAGTTGTTCTTCTTATAAATAAAATACATAACTAGTTGACATACATTTGGATGAATACAAATTAGGGACAAATACAAGATTCATAAAGCATGCAACATGAAATTTTTAATAAATACAAATATTGATAGTATATATAGTGATTTAAATATAAATTAAGAAAGCATACCAAATTCTAAATAAATATAAATACAAAACAAACTAATAGAAAATTGTTCGACAACTATCCGATCTTCGTCGTCTTTTTCAAGATTCTCACGAGTAGACAAAGATTCTACATTTGCGTTCTGAATTTGAGAAAGGTTTTGCACACCAATGAGTCTTGTAAATGTTCTTACCCTCTTTCTTCCCTCATTTTAGCAGCGGATCATACATTATACACTATTTGTTAAGTAATAAATAAATTAAAGGATGAAAAATCACCAGAAATTGGTTAATTAAGATGAATACCTCTAGTAAGCCTTTTGGATTCAGCCATTGGAGAGTAAATCATAACGGAAATTGAAAAATACAAACAACATTTTTTTAAGATTTAAACAAAAATAAAATTAGAAAAGAAATCTGAAAATAGGATAGAGATTAGAGATACCTTAATCAAAGGGATTCTTGTTGATTCAACTTTGGATTAAAAAAACAACCAAAATATATGGAAAAAAAATATTTGCAACTTCAATGTTGGAGGAAAATCAGAAAAGATAATCATGAGAGAGAAAAAAAATTAAAATGGAAGAGAAAATGATTATTATTTTAAAAAAAAGATATATAGAATTAATTGAAAAAAAAGAGATAAAATAGGAAGAAAATTGGGACACATAAATTTTTTAAAATAATGACATTTTTGACATTATTGCTAATATTTATAAAGTATGGATATTTTTACTAAATATGTTACTTATTTTGACTAGTTTACTAATTTTCCCTTTTAAGGGGAGAATAATCCTCAATGTATTATAATATTTATGCATACTCCTTCATTTTGGTATTATTTATCATTATTTCTATTTTTAGAACCAAACTATAAAAATTTTGACTAACATTTTAAGATGTATTTTTTAATCATATTAATATGCAAAATAGTACTTTTATATAGTTTTAGAATATTTAATTTTTTATTTAAAATATCGAATTAATGTAATTTAATTTACTTTTGAAAATTAATTAAATTGACTTTCGATAAGCGCCAAACAATTTCGAACGGAGAAAACAATAAATTGAAAATATGCTACTAGTGTTTCTTGTTCTCTAGTGTCTATTTAGTAGTGTGTCTTTTTCAATAAAAGTTGATGCCATTAAATTCAAAAAGTTTAGCTTTTAATGGTACAATGGAGAGAACCATATTGTTTTCCATCATATCTTGGTATTTCCTTTTTCTGCTTCTTTCCCTTTTACGAGATGTGAGAGTACTGTTTGTTAATCTATTTGGTCATGAGAACTTTTCAAATACTTTTTGGAATTTTTTTTCATTTTGTTTGAAATTTACTTTATATTGTATTTGAAATTGTTCTGAATTTTTTATTCCCTATAAAAAAAATTAGTTGTTGTTTTCATGTCAAACACATCCAAAGGGATCGTTTGGTTAGGAGTAAGCTATTTCAGAATTAATTATTTCAGGATAAATTACTCCGTCCATGTATATGGAATATCTTATTCCATCACTAAGATATAAATGATGGAATACGCAATTCAAGGATCACATAATACCTTCAACCAAAAGCATGGTAAAATAATCCTAAATTTTATCTTGAGATTATTATATCTTATAACCTCAAACTAAACGACACCCAAGGTATTATTCTATACGAATTTCTATACCAAACACACCTTTGGTATAGAAACAAAAATTATTTTTTCTAGAGATTAAAAAAATGGAGAATCTTGATTTAGTTTTTTATATATAATAAAGTGAAAACATGGTTTTGAGTGTTTTCATATTTCAAATACAATATTAGGTTGATTTTCAAATAATATGAAAATCATTTCGAAAAAAATTAGTTATGGAATTTATCTAACAATTTTAATTTATTCATTGTTAAATGTGAATATTCTTATAATTCATAATTAAATAAAATTAATATAAAGAATTTACTATTTAGCTAAAAATTTCTGGGTGATAATTTCTTATTCCTAGTCGTGATTGTAACTCACTACTCATCATCATTACATAGCTTATGGCTCCCTACTGTTGACCAGCTTTTTCTCTTTTACACTTCACACCGTTCATGTACACGTCAAAAAGATTAATGTTGATGTACTTATAACGCTGTCCAAAATATTTATATAATAAATTAAATCAAATTTGAAAGGTGAACAAATTGATATGATATCTATGATGAGTAATACTCAATCGTCTAGCTAGCTAGTAAAAGTGATCGACTAAATTTTTATATCATTAGTTAAAATTTGTTTTCGATGTTTAGTTGTTTATATAACTTATGAAATATATTTGCATGTGTATTTGAATCGAAAAAGATTCATAGAAATGAGTAGAGTTTTATCACTACTAGTCTTAGATAACGAGATACTCCTTCCGTTTCATAGAGAATGATTTGGTTTGACTTGGCACAAAGTTTAAGAGTATAAAGAATACATTTATATCTTGCGGTTCTAAATTAAAGTTAGATTACATGTACAAAATTGTCCTTTCATCTTGTGGCCTTAAACATGCCAAAGTGAAAAGCTGAAATTACAATTTTATTCATAAAAAAGAGAAGAGATCATTCTTTTTGAAACAGACTAAAAAGAAAAGAAGATAATTTTTTTTAAACGAAAGAAGTAACATTTTAAGTATATATTAATATCTAATAAAAGGGAATAAGCAAACAACATAGCATCAACACGTCTCCTTGTGATGCCTGCTTGTTCAATAGAGATAGAAAATAGTGTGGTGGATTTTAAGCTTCTAAGTTTGTTCACTTATATTCTAACTCCACCTCTGATGGAACCCCCTTCTAGATGAAGATGATGATTGTCGATAGTGAGGGTAAATAGGCGATTGGATAAAATTTGAGCGAGTTGAAAATGGGTTAATATTAAATGGGTAGTAAATCAATCTGCGCTAATATTAAATGGGTAGTAAATCAATTTGTTCATATTTGATATGAGTATAAATAGATTGGATAACAAACGGGTTGGATAAAATAATAGTTTATCTATATTTATCTATATTTCATGAGTAAATAATACTCTATTTAAGAATTTAACATGGAGAAAATATTTTAATCTTTTTTAAGATTACAAATATTAAAAATGCGTCATAAAAGTAAAAAAAATCCTATAACATCTCATATAAAATAAATTTATGTAATAACGAGTGCAAAATATTTTTAATTTCAAAGTAAATGAATATTCATATTTTAGGACTAAAACATATTTAATGCACTTTAAGCAAGATCAATAGTAATACATAATATGGTTATTTTACATTACTATATATTATCCAATATAAAATTAAACAAATAAAAAAATTAATTATAATTAACAAAAGAAATATACATTTAAAATATTTATTTTAGGAGGGCCAAAGACTTCATATTTTCAATTAAAGAGAAAAATAATTAGTTCTACCAAAAAAACATATAAGGAAGAGAAGTTACAATATTTTTAGTGATATCATGATATTTGAGTGCATAAAAGTTAGAAACTAGTTTGCCGTTAAATTTCAGTTCTCTAGTCTTGATAAAATATAGGGAAAATTTCATATATGGCAAACTTATTAGATTAAATAACATTATATGGGTATAGTTTACCTAATTACATAATATGGGTATAGTTAAGTTATTAAAGGTGTCTTTAATTTTGTATATAATTTTTTTATTATTATTTATACAATTCTATTTTAAAAAGTTGTTTGTAACTGAAGCATTAAATATGGTAACAATAAATCAAGATAATGCCACAATTTTAGGGAAACGTCCCTATTTTCAAGCCATACGTTCAAATTCAAAAAAAATTTCT